CTTCTAAAAGGATAATACCAGAGTGAAACTACAATAACGTTGGCTTCACGCAAGAAAACCTTCAAAAGTTCACGGTTAGACCAGAGGGTAAAATTTACGCAATCGATTCGAACGTAGTGGTCTCCTTCCGCAACGTCGCCTACACCTTTTAGGAGTTTGAACGCCTCAACCAGGTCCCCGTTCTTTTTCTGCTCTCCAGCGAGAAAAGCGGTTACTTTCTCGCTCTGTTTTCCTCCTACGTAATATGTTTTGATATTCATCCTCCATCTCGGAACCTAATTTTCATATTTGTTTGGTACTTGCTGCGTTTCACCCCAAAGTGCCGAGTATCACCTTTCTATTCCAGATTCGGTTGGCTTGGACCTGATAAAGGCTTGGGGTCTACACCCACAACGAACAATTTGGCTCCGGCAATGGTTGCTGGGCGCGGCTATCCACCGCTTTGACTAAATGTATCCGCATTCTGGACCAGGTTGAGGAACGGGTGGTGGTGGTGCAGTGGTTTAGTCACAGGCGTGCTTTGAACCCTATAATCCGAGATTCGATCGCCGCCACTGCCACCCGACTTTGGTGGTAGGCAGCTCTGCTGTCGTCCGGTTCAATACCACATCTAACGTAACGGGGCCTTATGTGGTTCGCCAATCCAAGTCCCGGGGCTTGGGTTGCCGGTTCTCATCACTAAAAAACATGTCCTCGAGACTATGGGGTTCGCTCCGTCTGCTGTTCATCACGCTTAAGTGTGTAATAAAACGAAAGGTTGAGGAACACACCCCCTGCATCGCCTACAAGGTATTTTAAGGTTAGGTGTCTAAAGTGTAGTCAGTCCCACATCAAAGCGACCAACGCCGAAATAACCTAAATCATTCCATTGTTGATCGAAGCCGCTGAAGCCATCGAATGAGACCTCACAGAAGTCAACTATCACAAAGTATTGTGAAATACACGTACATTGACAAATACTCCAACCGGGAAATTTGTTCGTCCAAATCAATTCTTGTATGCCTGTTTCCATCTTTTCCCATCCATGGGGCCACAAAACGTCTCTCCTTATTTTATTCCTTGAACGTCACACGTCCAAAAATCACCGCGTACATCGATTCCTGCTGTTTTATTTCCGCTGTCATTCTCACGTAAGGTATATCGCCATCCTCAGATAATATCTTTTTAATCAACCTCCGTTATTCCTAAAAATGAGGCAAATTGTGACTTTTTGATGCATGAATGATATATTCAAAACCATCGGAAGAAATCAAGTAAGTTTCGTAGAAAATTTCAAGTTTGTGCAGGTTACTTAGAAAAACCATTTTTGTTTNNTATAAAAATAGCTGGAAAATTACGTTCACCCCGGTACGTCGAGCGGTGCCCCGGCTGTTGGATGTCAGGTCAGGTTGCACAGGACTGTAAAGGATTTCGCCGACCGAGGGTCCAGATTCTTGCTCCAGCCGGAACCACATTCTTCCGGAGCGTCGACTTTCTGTCGACCGTTTGACCACAGATCAAGTCGGGTCCCAGGACGTGCGGCTGATGCCAGGTACCGTCCCGTTTCTTGCACTGATGAGCTGCAATCGTCTTCCCACAGTGCTTCGACAGCGTATCTTACGTATTCGTTGTCGTTTTTCATCTGCGAGAGTAAGGGTGGCAGCCCGCACACTCTGACAGGAGGATCAATCATTCGAAGCTGTGCAGGTTCACGCCGCTTATCCGACGTCGCACACTCCCCCCGGTGGTCGATCCCTCCAGCAGGGTCTCGGGCAGGTCAAGAGTTGGGGGTGGGGTGTGCTCCAATATAAAATCAAAAGTAGAGCACTTTTAAAATGTGGGCTTTTAAGAGTAAATGGAGTAAAGCAGGACGAAAAGGAACAAAAATAGATATGCAGTCTGAGGGCACTCCTAAAGATGGAGGTTCTCTGGGAACACTATCTCCTAACACCGGTTGAGTCAGAGCTTGAAGAAGGCAACTGATTCCGCCACTACTACATCTGTAGGTAGCTTGTTCCAGGCGTTAATCACCCTGCACGAGAAAAATTGTGCTCTGGTGGTCGTACTCGCTCTGGGTTTGTCAAGCCTTCATACGTGCCCTCTCAGTGCAGGGCTCCCACCAAGGCTAAAGAGAGGTTGATCCGTTGTCGTGAATCTCTTTATCAATTTGAAGGTCTCCACTAGATCCCCTCTCATCCTCCTTCTTTTGAGGGAGAACAGCTTTAGCCTCCGAAGCCTTTCGTCATAGGTCGGGTTCCTAAGTCCTACGACGAGTTTCGTGAAACGGCGCTGTATACCCTCTAGTAGTTGAGTGTCCCGAACCAGCGCTGGTGCCCATGCCTGGACGCAATACTCCAGCTGAGGTCTCACAAATGCGTTGTATAAAGGCACTATTATTCTGGCCTCCCTTGAAGCAATTGTGCGTAGTAGTTTGTAAAGTGCTCAGTTGGCCTTGGTGGCCGCAACCCAGCATTGCTCGGAAGTACTCCTAGGTCCTTCACTTCTTCTAATTGTGGGACTAGTCGGGGGTTCTCCGGATTCAGGTGGCGGTTCACCGATGTTCGTGCATTCCTTAAGTGACTACACTTAAATGGGCTTATTGGGAGCTCCTACTCAATCACCCGTTAGCATATCCCATTGCATTTCGTTACCTTCCGGCCTACCCACTAATTTGAGATCATCTGCACAGATGAATGCCGGAGATGCAAGATCACCAGCACCGTCGTTAACGTAGATCAGGAACAGAAGCGGCCCCAGAACTGAATCCTGTGGCACCCCGCTGGAGACACATGCTTGTCTAGATCACCCTTCATCCACATTGACGTAAAAGGATCAGTTTCAGTTTGAACAACCATTAACCATGCATATTCGAGCGCCGGTTTTGGTTGGTATTTTGGCTGCCCATTTGGATGAAGAATAGGAGAAGAAAGAAAAGTCGAAAGTGGAGTCGAAAACAAAATGGAGAAGTTCAGCGGTCTAAGGTTGCAAATGAATTGAGAAGATGCACGAACGCCACTGTTGACGACACCCAGCCATATCACTCAGTGTCTCTAACCAGTCTCCTGCTTAGGGTTTTCATACCCTCGTGCCAGGTCTTAGCTTGACCACACTTGGCTTTTTTCCACTCG